CCGGCTTGAATCTCACACACACCGGCCGGACGGAGAGGATTCATTGGCAAAAAGCAAGCACATCCAAAACAACACAACAGCAAAGATTAACGTGTGCTAGGATGATGTCTGTGCTTTAAAAAGAGGCGGCCGGAACGCACATGGAGACGTCTGAGGAAAACATGCTGAAAGCTAGCTAGCTAGCCGGTCGATCGATGAAGTGCATCTTCTTGCTGGAAAATTGACCGGATTGGCACATCTTTGGTGCTTAAAGAAACCAACGTGTTCTTGCATCTCTCTCTCTCTCTCTCTCTCGTTTGACAGGCACAACTCTAGCTCTGAGCCCCAATCCGGTGGTAGGTGAGAGGGAAAATGGTAGCTGGTGGGATCGTGTCACTAGCTCCGAATCTAATGTTGGCACTGTAAATCAAAGGAAATGCGGTTTTAGGTCCATGTTTACACCCCCCTCCTAACTTTTTTTTTCTCTCCAACTATATTTACATATACATTATTACTATCCAAGCAAGGTAGGTTAACTTCTACGCTTGTTTACTAACTAACCCCGGGCATCCTCTTGGAACTTTCCTCGATCGACAGCATTTTTCAAACGAATTTCCCTTCTCCTATATAACCTCTTCTTCAACTATATATATTAAAAAATAACAAGAATAAAAAACTACTCCACTTGGTTTTGGTGAAGCTTACAACTCAAGAACCGCAACAAGTTGATGAGACTGAGCTTTCATGCACGCTGCTCTTTGAATTGTAGGCAAAGAAACTGGTATAGGAGAATCCCCCTGTTGTGCTCTCTTCGATCCATCCGTTTGGTACATGGTGACATCCTCCAATGTCAGACATGAAAGCTCAACGCGTGATCTTGGAAGAACGAAGGGTCAAGGAACTTGATCCTTTCTGCACGAGGGTTTCTTGGAGTCGAGAGCAAGTGACCTGATCAACATGGAACCATGCACGCAGGCATGCCCGCCGCGTTTGAGTTTGACCAGGGTTGCAAAGTAATGTGCATGCATGCATGAAGTTGGGCAAGACATATATATTGGTCACTGGTCAAGCAGATGACATGTAGCCCTCTGGGAGAGACAGATCGATATCTAAAGGCAGCTAGCGTTTACCTTTTCTTTTCTTTTTCTTTCTTTTAATAAAAGGAAGAATTGTGTCATTGTTAACTGAAGATGAAGGCATGCTGGTACGGTCTACAAGGAAAACGGCAACTGCAAGACTATACTTGGCCATGCAGCCCGAGGCACAACAGCACGGCACGAAGCCCGCTTTTTTAGCCCGACACGAGCACGGCACGGCCCGGTGACATGCGGGCCCGGGCTGGCCCGGCCTGAGGTAGCAGGTCGTGCCTGGGCCGCTGCTCCGGCCCGTGGGCTGGCACGGCACGGCCCGAAATTTAGTGGAGGCCCGGTGTCGGCCCGCTGCTGGCCTTGGCCTGCTAAAGGCCCACGCTCCCACTCCCCAAAACCCTATCCCGTCACCCTCCCTCCCCCCCCACGCGCAGACTTTCAAGACCGCAAGTCCGCGACTGCAGACCCGGCGCCAAGGGTGTGCGGCGCCAGACTTCCCACTCCTCACCCGCACTTGGCTCTCGCTCGTCGCTCCCTCCGCACGTCCGGTCGCAGCTCGTGCGCGCAGCCTCCGGCTTCGAGCGCGCCGGCAGCCGGCCTCCTCCTTCACGAATCACGACCCACCCCCTCGAGCGGCGACCGCCTCCTCCACGACCCGCGCGGCCACACCGCAAGCGCCGGGATCGAGCGTGGTGGCGTCGAGTGTGGCTACCGGCCAGCCGGCCACCTCCTCCTCCACGCCAGGCGGCCACATCGCAGCACCGCCACCTCCGCCTCCACGCCGCCCAAGGCGGCTCACGGTTATGAGCTGCTCACGCCTCGCTGCTCTCCCGGCCTCCCCTTCCCACTCTCTTAGTGGGCCTTGGGCCGGCACGGCCTGCTAAAAAAGCCGGGCTCATCGGGCCGGCCCTGCACGAAAAGTGGCCCGGCAGGCCGTGCCTGGGCCATCGGCGAGGCACGAAGCCCAGGGAGGCACGGCCCAGAGGCACGCCGGGCCCTGTCGTGCCGTGAATCATCGGGCCGTGCCTGGCACGGGCCCATGCCGTGCCGGGCCGTGCCGGCCCGTTGGCCATATATATGCAAGACCGTACCACAGCCTGTTTTGTCCAAATAATGTGAGTTGGGTTACCAAAACCGTTTCCACCGACTAGTTAATTAGTAGTATCTGAGGTCCCTCCTCATGTGCGCCAACCCAATATGCAATGACCTCCGTTCAAAAATGAAGAATTGGCACGAGTCTGTTTTGACCTCTTCCCCGCTTCTCCTCTTGACAGGGTAAAACATGAAGAATTGGCACCACATCAACAATCCAGTAAAAATCACTGCAACAAGGTTGTGTGAAGTACTATTGCAACACCCTAAAATTTGCATAATTTTAAAATGGGAGAAAATAATTAATTATGTATTTTTTGTGGGCATTTGAATTTAGGAAAAATAATAAATTTTATCAAATTAAAATCAAATATAGGTCTACATACATGTTTATGCATTCATGTTGCTGCATATTATTTTGTGTTGCCTGGTTTGAAGTCAGATTTCAAATTGATTTGAATTTGCATTTTGAAATTGCTTTAGAAATTTAGAAAAGGAAAATGAATTTCCCTTCCTCCCCTTCCCTGTTTTCAGCCCAGTCGGGCTCGCCCTTGCAGACTGCCTGCCTCTCCTTTTCTCCTATTGGCCCAGCTCAGCCTCCTCCCTCGCTCCCTCGCTTCTGCTGCATCTCACAATGACTGTCTCTCCCTATTCGGCCTGCCTTCCAGCATCGGGCTCAGCTTTTCAGCTTGATTTTATACTGTTCTAATCTATAGCTTTTGTTTGTTGTGTATGATTGCTTCTGGATGCTTGTATGTTGCTGTGATTATCGAGAATAGACGGTGAGCAATTCGTGGGAGACCAAGAGTATTACTTTGACGTGCCGGATCAATAGGAGTACTTTGTTCAAGACAAGTATAGCATGGGATCATCTTTATTTCCTATTCACTTTAATACATTAAATTCATGTTGCATGTGTCACCTTGATAGGGATTCCCTAGAATTGAACTTATACCTTGTCACCTACGGGATATGCATTGGGTAGCTTTGCTAGTGCTCAATTAAATCATGATCTTGTAACTTGACTAATGGTATATGCAATAAACATTAAAATATGACTTTTTAGCAACTTGAAAATAGAGAGCTGGAGTGTTTAGCTACTTTCTAAATGCTTCAGATTCCTCTTTCTAAGGACTTATCTGTAAGTGATCATCCGGGACTTACAATACAGCTGTTAGGGCTACATGGCTCTGGCTTTAGCTCAGTATGAGGACATTTTCTAGCTTGTTAGTGGTTACCTTTATTGGCGTAAGAATGGCTTGACAAATCGGGCATAGTGCGCCCTCTGTCCCCATATGTATAGGCTGTGCGTCAATGTGCCATCGGAAAACGGGGCTCTATATCTGTTTGTCGAGTTAATCTAATGGCCCTAACTTGTTAGACGAACCTTTAAAAGGCTTCATAGTGACCCCTGCCTGCTCACCTTAGAAGTGTTTTGAGAGTAATTAACCCGGGCATATGGGTATCACGACTCACAGTGAAAGTGTACAACCTCTGCAGAGTGTAAAACTGGTATATCAGTCGTGCTCACGGTCACGAGCGGCCTTGGAACATTTACGGAATAGATGAACATTAAGAATTATCTGTTTATGCTATTCATTATTCATGTTTACATTGATCATGTGTTTTGTATTGGGAATTGAAACAACTTGATGCTACTCTTATGCTAAAATTGTGACAACTAAAAGCTGAATGATGTTAAACATGTGTCAAGCCTTTTGAGCCTCATGAACCCTACGTTACACTTGTTGAGTACGACATGTACTTACGCTTGTTTATTTTCATTATTTGGATAAAAATCCCGGATGGGTAACAGATGTCTATGGTAATGACGATTTTCCTGAGGATTACTAGACTTGTGGTCAACCAGTTAACGTCCCTGTGATATGGAGCTTCTGCGAGAGATCTTTTCTTACTTCCGCTACATTTATGTGAAGACGTTGTCTTATTCGTGGTGTAATAAACACTTGTGATGATACTATTTATAATTTATCGGCTTATGTGTGTGACTGATCTCTGGACGCACATAAGATTTTGCATTCCATTTTATCCTTAAAATCGGGTGTGAAAGATATTGCTTACACTTAACACAAGTCTGTCTTACAGTTGGCTACAGAAGGACTGACGACGGAACCGTTGAAAAAGGGGGACATGGACAGGGCATATATGGACGCGCTAAACCTTCAGGTGCTGCTGTCATATATCCTACTAAACTCATGATTAGGTTTGACATATTCATGCCTGGAGGACCTCACGCTAGCAATCTGAAGCTATGACCTACGAGGCACAAAAGGGATGGAGGATTTCAGAATATTGAGATGCAAGACTAACTGCCCCTGTCCATCGTAAGGAGATGGAAGATGGGTTTACTCGTCGGAAGACCGTGTCAAAAGACCCGACTTTTCAGACAATTGATCAACTGCAGCTCACCGACAAGATGCTCGCCACGTTCAGAATATAATCACAGTAGACAACAACCTTGCTACAGCAGAATTAGCAAATACTAGTTTCCTTTTTGGTCATCTTTGTACAAAAATTCACACAATGATATCGACCAAGATTCAAATCAGTTCTATGTCCTCTCCTATTTATGGAAAGAAAAATACTCTTCAGAGTTTAGACCTCCTATGGAACATGATCAGAAGCTACAAGCAACAATAATTTTACAAGCCCTGCGGTCATTTATAACAGAGGGACATGGCTACAATTTACAACCCTTATACACCCACTCATTTATCTACACTGAACATGAATAAAACAGAAGACTTGATACATTTCTGAAGCTGACAAGATTGGCCTTCCATTACGCCTTAGAAAAAAAGAAGCGGCATGAAAGGCGAGTTAGTCATCGATGGTTTTCGCTCTCATGCAACCACAATGCGAGTTTCGCTGTTGTTTGCGACTGTCCCGCCGTCGACCATAGAGATACTCTACGAGCTGCACTTTGGACCGCCGCTGCAGGGCTTTCGAGGTCTTTCTGCTGCTCTGCTCCTCCTCGTATTTCAGGAGAGCCTGCTGGACCTTCTGCATTTCCACCTCCAGCCTCCCGATCTTCTCAGACATCTTCCTTGCACGCTCCAAGATCTTACGCTGATGTCTGCTCCTCAAGTCACTGTTTTCCGCATCGAGACCATCAGGAGACGTGAACTCCTCAGCCTTCTTGGACAGCTTACTGTTGGTATCGATCAGCTGCATGATGGTACCCTCAGCTTCTCTTATTTGGTACCTGACGCTCTCGAGTTCTAGCTCTTCAGATGTTTCGGCATTCGTTTTGAGTTCTTGGATGCTGGATTGGAGGGTGCTAAGCCTTTGGGCATCAGAAGACAGCCTTTCTACGACCTTGTTTCTCCACTCCTCGTGTGGCTCCGTGGCAAGCGACCTCAGTAGCTCTTGCTTGTCAATGCTGAGCTCTTTCACAACAATTAAATTGTTCTCTCTCCCAAATGACTCGCTTTGCGGTGGTCTTAAGTCATCAGCCATGTGTCCATGGCTCGGCCCAATAGTACCACGTGAGTTTACCATCTTGTCATCTACTTGTGCTACATTTTTCTTTTCCTGACCAAATGGACTAGTTTTCCGGCCTGAAGAAGTTTGAATGAGGTCAAGCTGTATGTCCTTTAACATTTGCTCGTAATTCATTTCAATTATATCATCATCCAAGATCTCCTTGAGCTTTAGCATTTCAATTTGCTTCTTCGCTTCTTGCAAATTGGTATTGAAATCAAGCCTCTCTTGTTCCAGGAGGACACCAGTATCTGTGACCACCTTCTGAAGGGCTTTGATTGTTCCATGCAATTTCTGCAGCTCCATGCTCTTCACCATCCTCAATGCATTGTCTTCGCCACCCAATCGTGTTGTGGTCTTCACAAGGTGAGGAGATAATGCATTTTCCTAGAAGACAAATAGGCATATCAATTTCAGTTCTCATGCATAGATTTAGGAGTTAGAACTGTCACTGTCAGGCCCTGTAATCAACGATTACTGTAAAAAAATAGCAAAGTTTACTGTGCCAAGTCACTAGTAGAGAAGTGTAAACTTGTTACAGGATAGCATTATAAATTTATACCAGGAACAGTATAACCCTTAAAACTTGAATCAAAGATGAAAAGGGGAATATTTTACCTCCATACTGAGCTTATTTGTTTGCAAGCGGTCGTTGGCAAGGGACACGGTTTGTTCCTCCAGGGCACTGACTTCAGACTGCAATGACCCTAACATTGTGAAATCACCATCTAGGTCGACCTTCAGTCTTCTGTTCTCAATCTCAACAGCATTTAGTTTGTCCTTTAGCTCATCTACATACGAATTTCTTTGTATGATTTCTTCCTTCAGAACCTCCTTCTGTACCATGGCACTTATCTCAAAACTCTCGCATGTTATGATGAGCTCAAGGACCTTTTCCTTGAACAGAGCTGCATTCATGATAGCCATTTGCATGTTAGCCAGCAATTTCATGATCTCTTCATCACAAGATTTGATGTTGAAAACAGCCTCCTTGCTCCTGAGCATTTCCACTTCACTCCTTAACTTACACACCTCATCCTGTAGCATTTCATTTGACTCCTGAAAATCAGCATTGCCAACTTCCTCTTGTTGTTCCACTTCCATATTTACATGACAATCTTGTTGGGTTTTCCTGCTAGAATTCAGAAGGTTGGCATCTCTTCGCCCTGGATTTCCTTTTCCTGTTGCAGTTTGCACAATAGATCCACCATAAACACTCATAGTTCTACTTAGTTCTTTGCCAAGGTAGTTGTTCTCAATTTCTATGTCTCCAAGCCTCTTGTTCATCATCTTGATCTCCTGATAAAGCTCACTGCCAGCTGTTTGCAGACAGCCAAAGTTATTATGCAAAGACTTCAGCTGCAATGTCCTCTCTTCGTGAAGGCTTCTAAAATCACACTAAGAATATCTTTGCTGACAGCTTCAGTAACAAGATTGCTGAAATCATGTTCAAACATCTTCTGTTTCTCAATGGAGTCATTTAGTTCATTTGATAGAAAAGAGTTCGATTGTAATAGCTTGGTGATCTCGCTTTGCAGTGACCTCCTAGACTCTTGCAGTTCTGAGAGCCTTACAACTAAGAACTTCGCCTCAGCCTTTAGCTCATCCACTTTGTGGTTACGAGCCTCCACCTCTACCAAGAATTCATCACTTATCTTCATAAGTTCCTCCTTTTCTCTCTGCAGCTGGAGCAGTTCCTCATTCTTTATCTGCTGATCTTGCCTCAAGACATTCCGCTCTGACCTTAAGTCAGCAACCTCTTGCCCGAAATGCTCCAGAAGTGTAACAACAAGTGACTTCTCAACAAGCTCATTCTGCTTCACATCCTGGGCATCAGATATGTTATTCAGCAGGTAGCTGATCTCATTTAAGATGAGCTGCACAATAATTTCAAGCTTCATTTGGTCTAAGGATTCATACTTCTGATCCAGATGCAATACTCTCACTACTGAATCAATCCCTTCAGTTAGTTTCTGATTATGCTGTGATAAGCTGTACATTTTCCCTCCTGGACCTTGCATATTTCTTTATTCTTTTGCAGTTGTGCTGCAATTTCAGAATTTACTTCCACCATGTCATTCAAACACTGCTGCAAGACAAATATCTCTATCTGAGCTTTGACAATCTTGAGCTCCTCCTCTCCAAGTTGCACCTCTCTGTTCCTACCCTCTTCTAGCAGTAGGCTAATCTTTTCTGTAGAGCATCTAATCTAGTGTTGCTTGACTGTGTACAATCTTCATGCTCCTTCCTCTCAAGCCTTATCTGTTCCTGTATCTTGATCACTTCATCAAGCACCAAGTCCTTCTCCTTCTGCAGATCTGAGTGTCGCCTTCCTAGTTCTTTGTATTGCCTTTCCAAATTCAGCAGAGTTACAGTGATGCCCTCAACCTAAAATAAGAATGTAATTATTGAGAAGGTGGACCCAACCTTTGTTATGAGAGCAGGAAAATAGTATCTTTTAGCCTACTAAAAGGCTTTGTTGCTGTTAGGAAAATAGTAATTTTGAGTCATACCTGGTGGACAAGAGTTCTCTTCTCAGATTGAAGCATAGAATTCTGATTTTGGAGTGCCTCTGAAGATTCTTTCAGTTCTTTCAACTTCATCCTTAAACTCTCAAGTTCAGCATTAGCGCCAGATAGTGAATTCTCCAAGAAAACATTCTTCTCCAGTAGCTCCTCCATGGTCTGAGAAACTACCTCAATCTGCAATGCAACAAGCACAGCTCGCTCAGACTGATGAGTGCTAATCTTGGATCTGAAGTGCATGCATGATTCTTCTAATGCCACCTTGTTCTCCCTCAATCCCTCAAGCTCAGCTGTTGCAGCTGACAAAGACTTTTCTAAATGTGCATTCGTCTCTGACATCCTCTCCAACTTTCTCAGATTATCAATACGCACAAGTTCAATGCTCTCATGGTTCTTGACAAACTCTTTCAGCTCAACATTGCCATCCCTCAGCTCTTGTGCAAGTGCTTGTAGAGATTCTACATTCAAGTTCATAGATTCTATCTGTTCCTTGATTGTAGAGTGTTTCCTATCCAAGTCACTCCTATCCTCTTTAAGATGAGAAAGCTCATGTTGAAGTGTCTTCTTTTCCTCCACATGCTGAAAAATCTCTTCCTCCAGTCTTCGTTGCACATTTTTCATGGAAATTATCTCATCCTGCAGACTTAATTATCGCTGCTGAAGAAGAGTGACTTTGATCATTCAACTTTTGGTAATCTTCAAGAATTTTCTCCAGTTCTTTCTGAAGCACAACTTTGCTCGCTTCGATCTCCTTTATCTTGTGTACTTCAACCTGCTTCTCAAGAGCCAAATGCCTCAGTTTGTCTTGTGCCAGTGATAATTGTTTTTCCAAAGAAAGCTGCGCCATTTCTGCTTGCATACGCTTGAGATGCTCTTCTTCTGTAGAGATATGAAGCTTTTCCAACTCGGCTTGCTTTTCATTTAGTTCATCATGCTTTTGTTTCAACAGAAGTTTCAGATTATCTAGCTCCAAGTGCAAGTCCTGATTAGCTCTTTCAAGTAAAAAGAAATGTTCATCTGCTTTCCTCAAGGGTTGCGGTTCAGTTTGCATCTCCTCTTTCAGCCTGTTGAATTTCTCCTGGGTATGCATAATTTCAGACTTCAGGTTTTGTAATCTAGCAGTTGATTGCTGGCATAGTGAAACTGCAGCCTCCTTCTCTGCTTCTTGTTGAGCAAGGGACTCCTTGAGGCTAAGGATCTCACACTCAGCCTTGTTGCCCTGCTCTAGCATGGACGAGATCCTGTCCTTGAGGTCTTGGTTTTCTTGTGATAAGCTTGCTAGTTCTTTATGCAGCCTCTCGTAATCTTGGTCATCTGAAAGAGCACATTTTGTATGACATGGATTGTATTTTTATATTACATTCACGACAGCAAATCTTTGTAGGCTTACCTTTAGCGTGCCTTTTCAAATCACTAGCATTGATGAAAGAGAGAAAATATGGAGCCATGTCTGGATTGTCCATGTCAGTTCCAATGGAAGAAGTTTCTGCTGGAAGGTCATCATCCAAGTCCATTAGAACCTGATCAGGAAATGCTTCTGCTATCTTTCGATGTGCTTGTCGGAGTTCTCCTGCTGCATGGTCATATCTTTCGGCTAAAGCTCGGTATGCACGATACAGCTCCTCAAGTAAGGTCATCAGCTCAGGCCGCCTTCGGTAGTACATTTCAGCTCTTTTTGCAAATGATTCAGCATCTTCTTCAATGATCTTGATCATCAGCTTAATTTTACTATCCATATCTGCATTTATCATCATTCAGGAAAAGACAAGCTCTTTAAAATGTAAAAATAAATGAAAGGCTAACCATGCTATAAGCAGACAAGCTCAAACTATTACGACTGATCAAATCAGTTTAAAACTGTGCTCTCGTTTTATGCCTAAGACAGGCAGGCATCATATGGGACTAAGTACTACAGCCTAGAGAAGTAGCTCTTCTAGCCTAAATCTCGTTGAATTTTCTAACATAGTGGTAACAGTTGCACATGAATGAGGTGCACTACTCTGCATCTGAAGTTGATATGAATTGAGTGTTGGAGGTAACAGAGAAATAAATCAGCCAGGGCTTACAAACCCAGGCGACTGCTCTTTCATATATAGGAGATAAGTAGCACATTGATTACATTGATGGCTCATTAGAGCATTAACTAAACAGCTAACTGCCTGGGTACTTGCACAGTCACTTGTGCTGCCCAAGGCCTTAATAGCAGAAACATAATTAAGCACAGATAACTAAGTGATAACTGGGAGCAGGACTTAACTTCTACATTGAGTGATTGATATCGGACTAGAATATGGCCATTCATTGCAGTACCCACCTGAAGGAGAAGACTGAAGTCCTAAATTGTAGGTCATATGCCATAATTAAAGATGCCCATGTGCTTTGTCAATATTCTTATGACTTTTTTACAGGTACTTTATCAGTGCAAAGCCATTTGCATATCATATTAAGTAGGAGCTCCTAAAACTGTATTTGTCATTAAATAAAATGAAAAATTACTTCCCAAACTTATACTTGGAACCATAAAGTGCTGCCAGACTGGCAATAAGCACAAAGTGATTGAGGCTGCCTACTGTTTTTAGCAAGTGCCACATAAAGTGTGAACAATTGTCATAGATTTAAATGCTCTGAAAACAAAATTATTTTTTATATGCTTCAAAATGTGTATCTAAAGACTAAATATATTGATTTCAAAATTCTAAATTAGAAATGAGAATGTAAGATCACAAATAACGATCTAGAGAATTAAGATCGCTTAGAATTTTGTGAATTATCCCAGAAATTAAAATCTGCATTTATGTAGACTAAATAACCATGGAGATTATTGTGCAATTTGACTAAACAACCTTTTGCTTGTTCCATTCTCGATTTAGGATTATTGCAATTCTAAGTGAACACTAGAGAGGCTGCTCAGTTCCTAGAAACTAAATGGATCTGACATATAAGAAAATTCCCAAAATACTTTGAAATAATTTACCTGATAGATTTTCTTGCAACCATTTCGAGTTCTTTGGGCAGATATGACTGTCCCACCACCATGAGTACTTACGCCTTATATTGTTTGGCGACGTTGCTGCCATTGTACCAGAAGCCAAAGAGAAGCGATGTTCTTAACTTCTGACAAAGAACAGTCTGATCTTCTGTAATTCCACTAACAGTGAAGGATGAAAGCAGCAAGAAGAGATCACAATCTAACAGCAGTCAATTACCTACAAAGACCATCAAGCAGGAAAATTTAGTATTGTTAGCATGAAGAGACGAATAACAAAATAAACAGTACACAAAGTATCAATCTCTGTCCTATTTTCAGGTTCACTCGTGCGCAATAATCTATTGTTAAAGATCAATATTCCACTTTGGCATTTGTTATTAAGCAGTAAGCGACCAAGATACCACAATACACAGCAGTAGCATCCAGACTTTACACACGATGAATCAGTTTCTGAAGCCATAACACCCAGTTTGGTTCCAACAGAAAAACATGAGTTTGGTTTTTGCCTCCTTATGAACATAGGGGTAGTGAATGGTAAAAGCCAGCAAACATGATTGTGAGCAGCAAAACTAAGCATCCCAACATCCAAAAAGTGTACCACAGTTTGCTACTGTTTCGATTACAGAGTTGGAGCACAAAATTCAGAGCAATCATCTGAAGAATGACCAACGGCTTGATCAATCAAGAGAGACGAAAGGGACAGGGTGAATGCAAAAAAGCAGGAATGTATTCGAACAGTGCAAGAGAAGCAAACCAAAACGATACTGTAAGTGGACTACTGACTACTGATAGATAAATAGAACTCTCTGGTGTTGATCTAGTGGATAAATTCTTGGCTTAGATAGAAAACTTCGGTGATGTACCTCGCCGGACCGATGTCGTGGCCACGGTGCCGCAGCAATGCTCGGAGTAGAGCAAGCAGCGACATGGAGGCGCGGTCCAGTGGTGGCAGCGAAGGCGATGGCGCTTCCCGTCGCTTACAGCACGCCCTTTTAGATCGGACTAGGGCTAGGAACCGGTGGTGGGCGCTGGCGGCTACGGTGAACCTCGTGTATCGAGCCCCAGCCCCACCTCCTATTTAGGGGGTGTTTGGATCCCGTGACTAAAATTTAGGAGGTATGTCGGGAGGATGTTGCATGGGGTATTCGGATACTAATAAAAAAACAAATTACATAATCCGTTAGTACTCAACTAGACGAATTTTTTAAGCCTAATTAATCCGTCATTAGCACATATTTACTGTAGCAACCATTGTTAAATCATGGACTACTTAGGCTTAAAAGATTCGTCTCGTAAATTAGTCGCAAACTATGCAATTAGTTTCATAATTAGTCTATATTTAATACTCCATGCATGTGTCAAACATTCGATGGGACATCAACTAAAAATTTAGGAAGGGCAACCAAACACCCCGTTGTTGAGCTGCATGACGGGAACCCATCAGCCAGCCAGAAGAAGGGCTGGGCGCCCTGATCCCTGATCGGGGCGCGGATCAAAGGCTCAATCGACCGTTGGACCAACTTGGCTCAACCTAACAACTACTTCAAAAGTTGAGGAAATCAGAAAATGCTCAAGGTCCTTCACTGATTTGCTCAGAAATCGCCGCTGAACTAGGAAATCATGAACAGGTGGGATGTTGCTTGCAGAACTAGGAAACGGAGCCTCGGGCAGCAATAATATAGGAAAGGAAATGGACAGGGAGAGAGGGTGGGCAGCGACAAGAAAACCCAACAACCCACATAAAAGATGCCCCAACCACTTCCTAGCTCCCAGATGCCACCACGAAATGCAGGTGGAATTCCAAACCTCGAGAAAGAAGCCACATTGATTGGTGGTTGCTTTGTTCATAGGCCAATCAATTCTGATTTTATCTTCTTTCGAAAAGAAGAGCAACTTGTGTTGTCTATTGTTTTTCAGATAATGAAGAAGAGCAACAAATTGTGCTGAGGCCAACAAGGAGGAACTGAATGCAGAAAGGAACTATGATCCTAGAACCTTTGGTGGAAAGAGAGGCCATCGATAGGCGCAGCAAGCACAATCTTTGAAGTAAAACACAGGTGCTGAAACTGATGAAGGAGACACAAGGTACTAACAAAAGGACTGCAAAAGGCAATCTTGCAGCAGCATGAACGAAGAGCACCAAAGGAAATCATGAGCACGGAGAGAAGAAAAGGTGTGGCAAACGAAATCAAGGAAAAGGCTCGTCCACACATACCACGAACACGAGCAAGGTGAGAGCTTGCAGGAGAGCGGCGGCGGCGGTGGCGGCAGCTGCAACCCAGGAGAGATCCAGCTGCTCCCCATCCCACCGCTACGGCGCCATCTCAGGCCCTCCCACGAAGCAAATGCGGCAGCGGCGGCAACGGGTCTCGAATCGGAGGCCGGGGGCAGCGAGAGGTGGCGACGGCGATTGAATCGTCGGCTTGTTCGCACGCGCACTCGTATTATACCGGGACAGAGTTCTTGGGGAGCGGGGTGGGAACACACAAAAGGAAAAGGATTTGTTTTTGGCGAGTTCTTGGCTGGATTTGGCTGGCGCGCCGCGGCGGTGGTGTCAGGTGTGTGTCCCAGCAGCTCGTCTTGTCTGAGCGTGGGGTTGGGGGCCGACGGCGCCGGGCGGCGGGCGATGATTTCCTCCTTCTCCCTCTCCCGTGAGCGTACGTGTGTCAGTGTACTGACGCTGCCTAGCGGGACCAGACCAGCCCAGGGAAATGGAATTGGCCGAATGGGAGCGAGGCGAGCGACTGATGAAGTGATGATGGGCGGGCGAGACGCGAGAATGATTAGCTCTTTTTGGCCGGCTCTTTAGCCCTGATGATTCACGAGGGAGGTGTGTATATGTTAATGAAGATCACTGTTCGCTGATTTAGCGGGGCAGAGGTACAGGCACCAAGTAGTACTGTAGTGTAGGCGACCTACTGGCCGTGCAGTGGTAGTGGTGCAACGAAAACACGGGAACGTGCGTGGCAGGAAAAAAAGAGTCGTTTGAAACGCAGGTACCATCAAACCCCACGTGATTTCGACTAGTTCTGCTAATAATGGGTTAAAATCGCAAGCTATTCAAATGTACGCCTATTTCTTTGAACCAATATATAAACTTGTATCCGTCATGTGTATGTGGACCGGCAGCGTGACAGCATTTTGGACCACGAAAGTTTGTTGCGTGTCCAAATCGCTGGCGCCTTATATAGGAGGAGAGGACATGCTACTAATTACATGGTAATGACCTTAATTGATTGGCGGGCGAATAATCTCGAGCCGTCCGTCCTGCCAGCTGATAAACACTAGCACTAGCACCACTGCGGATCACACCATTTCTTCACAAATACTAGTATTACTAGCTAGCTGCAGTACTAATAAGAGAGGAGCGGAGGTGGCGTTGCTGTCTCTTCTTCTTGAGAGAGCATTAGTTGGGGCATCACCATTCAGGCATTCACCAATCACACCACTAGTAGTAGTTTAACTCACAAAACTGTTACTTTTCTCATCAAATCAAATACAAACACCCTTTGTGTTTCCTCCAAAATCACAAAAAAAACATAAAAGAACATTACTTGCATCATTGGTTTTCAGCTTACTCATCAGACACTAACCTAATTAGATGGCTAAATACTAATCAACTCTGTCTGACAATAACGCCACTGTCTTTATATATATAATTAATTATCCCGATCACCGACAGTCTAGCAGGTAATTGTAATACAAGGCACACGCAGCGGACAGCACTGAATCTCTCTTTGTTGAAAATATATCTAGCAGCACAAATGGGATGCTTATGGTGGGTCATCGAAAGATAAGATAGATGAGTTGACTAGAGCCGTCGCTTTTTTGTTGCTAAAAGAAACAAAAGAGAACATGCTTTTTGGAGTGGAGAGGAAAGAAGCTGCCGACAATTGGGCGTCTGTGATCAAACCACGCATCAGGTTCTCTGCAAATCTGCACGTAATGATGAAATCTGCACGAAGGAATCAAAACAGATGTCAAGAAGAATGTTACTCTCTACTTCTTTGAATATAACATTTCTAAAAAGCTAGCTAGCTAATTAGCTAGATTGCCGTAAATATAGTATATTAAAAAGCGAAAGGAGTGCAATCTGAATTTGAGTTGAAGAGTACTCGAATCCTAGTTGATAGCTCGACTGTATGGAAGAGATGGAGAGGACTTTGCACCTTCATGGGAGATTGCTTTGCTCGAATCCCAAGAGTATGTGTTTTTTTTAGAATAACCCAAGAGTGGTCCGTTTGCTTCGCTGAAAAACAAGCCGAAATATTGTTTCAGCTGATTTATCGTGAGAGAAAAACACTGTTCCGACGAAAAAAAACAAGCTAAAAAATACGAATTATAAGACAAGCAAACAGGGCCCGGTATGTGTTGCATTGTTTTATCCACGACAAAAGGCCACACACCTGACAACGTAGTATATAGCAGAGTAGATTGCTTCGCTTGGGAGCTCTGGAGCACCATGACCATTCTTTACTTCTCATATCGAGGGGGAGGAGGAGGAGCTGTCAAAACCTTTTGATGCTCCTGACCGGTCAACCGTTTTCTCTTTTACTAATGCGTATATTGTCATCGTTTGCGTTTGGCTACTTAGCTTAGGCTTGGCTATATATGCATGTGTATGTATGGCAAATTCATGCATGTTTTCAGTGCAATGCAAGCAAAAGGAGCACACGTGCACACTACTAAGCTACTAGCTTTCAGCTACTTCGTTTTGTTTGGCTACCATACTACTGCTAAGTAGTACCTTTGGCTTGGCTTCTCGGCCAATTCAGGCTCTGGCAGGCAGTTCGCATGCGAGCTTGAGATGGAGCGCCGTCAGCCGGTCTTGACTTCCCCAGGGAAATGGAGATACGGGGCACACTGAGGTACTCCTCAAGGGATGACGACGCGGTTAGGCCAGCGTCGCCAGGACTCAAGATGGCAACGGGTATTGCACACCGGCGGGTACCGCCATCCGTATTCCATACCCGTCGAGATCAAAATCTTACCCGTCGGCTTACCTGCACCTAAGCAGACGGTAGAAAATTCATTCCATACCCACACCCACGGATAATTCTTACCCGACAATATACCCAGTTCACACAATTAAAATATAATAGCTTCCAAAGAAACAAATCAACAATAGAGCAACAAAATGTAAATATGGGCTAGTGGAGTGGAGTGAGGATGAGGATTAGGGTTTAAGAGAGTTTCGAATATATATACTCATATGCTTATATGGGCCAAATATGTGCTATATGCTTATATGGGCTAAAATTGCAGAGGTTGGATATTATTTATGCGGGGTTTTTACCCGCAGTATGCTGAGTATGGGTAGTATACACCCACACCAGCACCGCATACCGATGGGTACAAGAATAAATCCAATAACGTATCATGGTGTAAAATGTCTTCCATACCGCCCTTATCGGGTAAAACCCGCCTGGTACTGGGTTCGGGTACCCGTTGCCATCTTGAGCCGGGACCTGTACCCCTAGGCTTCAGGAATCGCTGGAGGAGCGGCTCTGCGTTCCGTTGCAGACGCCCCTCATCCGCGGGCCGCCTAGGCTGCGTAGGTCCAGGACATCGGTCTCCGTTTGGTCGCTGCGGCGTAGTGAACGCCTTGCTGCGAAGCCACGCGAGGCAGACTCCATCAAGCAGGCTCAGTGCGTGCTCATGCAGAAGCTGAGAGTTGTAGCTAGCTCGCCCAACGTCAACTCTGAGACGGTGCGTAAGTACAAATCAACCTTCCAGGTGCTGTTATCGGCCTCCAAACAGGAGGCGTTGCAGCTTCTTTTTGGTGGGGATTTTGACCCGATGGCCTTGAACTTTGATATGGTCGGGATGGACGAGGTTTGAGGTCGATCCTTGTCTTTGTCGCAAAATTGTATCTTGTGTAATCACAACCACGTGCAAGAAGTGTGTGAGGTGTGGGCTGTGGGTTTTGGTAATCTTTGAATTACTGTAACTTGACAGTTTTGTAACAAAACTTTCTACTTCTACTTCATAAAAAACGTGCCAAGACACGGTCTCGAAAAAATCATCATCGCCATCATGCAACGCCGCCAACCGCTGATCTAGGCTTATGACACGCCTCATCTCATGGATCATCAATCTTATTCCAACGTAACTCGTTTCGCTTGGACTTGTTTATCGATAAACCATGGCTGAAAAGTACTTGATGGCTGATTTTGGTGTGTGAGAAATACTATTCATTGACTAAAAAGTACAACTTATAAGTCAAATAAGTCTAAGCGAAATGCCTCGTTGTGCTCCCAAATAGCCAAATCTTATTTTTGTGTAGTCATTCGCCAAGGCAAATAATCTAATAGCATATGTTTTCATTTAGATCTCTAATATTTTTTTCCGGTGTAACAGAACAATTTTTGGCACGGATCCTGTAGGAGGATAGCCACCTGTAGGTCAGGTACAATAGGAGATCGAGTACTTCTACTTTGCCTCGCAGATCCGCGGCCTGTTCGTTTGGTCGTGGCTTATTCGATCATAAATTTTTAGTTGAAATAATATTTTTTTCTCACATAAATCAATTAGTAGTATTTTTTTATGAACCAGCAACGAAACGAACCAGCCAACCGAACAGGCTCCTCCGTAATTGGTGATCATATAATTAACTCCATGTGATCTAAACAAGCATATTAGTACTGTACATATATAGCCCTAGCAGGCTACTACTAGGCTAGCAGTACTAGCTATCGCTAGGTTTCAGGACCCGGCGGAGAGTACGTCAATAATATAATGCTTGGAAGAACAAACATTCGCTAAACTGATGATGTTGCCAATGATATGGAAATGTGAAAAATACTGTTTCGGCTGATTGTTGTGAGAGGAAAATACTATTCTAGCAGGGCGTGAACAGTGTCCCGCTGAGTGGCTAGCCAGCCCCAGCCAGCCGAATAAGCCAGCCGAACAAGCTCTTGAACGCTTTCCGGTAGCAATATTAGTTTTGATTATATATACAGCCTAAAATGTATAGTGTGAGGACGCATCCAGTGCTGTCATATGCTATCAGTGCACAGTAACACTTGTTGGGATAGAAGGGCAAAAACAATGTATAATTAATCTCTCATCTTGTGATGAATACTTCTATCATCAGATAAGCCGCAGAAATTAACAATCATATTTACAATAGACACAACAATTTACGTGGAAAACCTCCTCAAGGTGATGTCTCTCTTGTTTCTCCATCAATTAACGCAGGCATTTGTGGAAGAGTTTTGCTCCGGACAACTGGCTCGTACAAAAGAATCTCTAGACGGTATTTGTTTAAGTATTATAATAATTATATATCCTTCATTCATGCTTAAAGTAGATGATTTTGGCGAGAGAAACATAAACTACTAAAGTCAAGGCACTATAGGGGCTCAGATGGTTTTGTAGGACGCCTCTACCCAACTCGACTCTAGAAATTAAGGATTTGTAGGGGCGGTTCCCAAGCCGCCCCTACAAATCTGATTTGTAGAGGCACCGAAAGGTCCTTGTTTGGTTTTGGTAATTGAGTGATAACTTAGGTCGACTAATTGTGTTTGATGTGAGATACACACGGGTGATTAGTCCACAAGTACATGTGTGTGAGCAACATATGACATGGAGGTGAAATGGTTCAGGAGATGTTGCAAAGCTCACACATGTGATGAAGGAGCTCATTGATATGAGACATGACATTGAGTCATGTGATTAAGGTGGAGAAGATCAAGACAAGACTTGGTTTGATGGACCAGTTGCAAGTGTGAAGGACAAGTTGAGTGATGACTTGGCCACTGATGGACCGAAGCAACGGTGAAGAGCTAGTGAAGTCAAGATCGATGAACTAATGCGGGTCACATGATGATATGAAGTTGATCATATCATTTGTGATTGGTTGGTGCATGTGTTGCATCAACATCGGAGGAGATAGAATAGAATGCGCAAGATAAAAGTATAACCTAAGGCATTTTATTTCACCGGTCAAAGGTGTGTAGAGAAGTTTATGACCGGGTTTAGGATAGATAGGCGTATTATCAAGAGGGGCAAACTTATTTGCATATCGGTCATCTAGTACCACTTGAGCGATCTAACTTTGCATACGTGTTAGGATCGAGTGGCGTGGTGAATTGAGTGATTAACTCCTTAAAAATATTTATGAAAATGCTAACACACATACACATGGTGGTCTACACTTGGTGGTGTTGGCATATTTACAAAGAAGAAGTTAGTTGGAGTTGATGTGGATCAACTCGTGTGAAGTCGAGAGAGGTTCACCATGCGGACCGAACGTAAGGACCAAACCCCGACCCGCAAGATCCTGGCCTTTGTGGCGTTGAAGGTGCGGTCTCACCGAGACCGACATTGACAAGGGTATGCGATCGGACGCTACCGACTCGAAGTCTCGACCGTCACCGACGATGGTGACGAGTGGTGTAATCATGTTGCGATGGCAGACGAGAGG